GGCACGGGGTAGCGGGGGGGCAGCTGTAGGGAGCAGGCGGGGGGGCACAGGGGCTAAGGGAGATGTGAGTACCAGGGATGTGGGTACCAGCGGGATGCAGGTACCAGGGGGATGTGGGTACCAGGGGCATGTGAGTACTAGGGATGTGGGTACTGGGGAGATGTGGGTACCAGGGGGATGCGGGTACTAAGGATGTGGGTACCAGGGGGATGCGGGTACCAAGGGGATGTAGGTACCAAGATACGGGCACCAGGGTGATGCAGGTACCAGGAGAATGTGGGTAGCAAGATGTGGGTCCAGGGGGGATGTGGGTACCTGGGATGCAGGTACCAAGGGGATGTGGGTGCCAGGGATATGGGTACCAGGGGGATGCAGGTACCAGGATGATGAGGGTACCAGGGGGATACAGGTACCAGAGATATGGGTACTGGGGAGGATGTGGGTTCTAGGGGAATGTGAGTACCAGGGATGCAGGTACCAGGGGGATGCGGGTACCAGGGRGATACGGGTACCAAGGAGATGCAGGTACCAGGGGGAACTGGGTACCAGGGAGACGCGGGTACTGGGCAGAAGCCGTTACTGAGGCTGTGGTTGCCGGAGCTGCGGGTACCAGGGGGATGCGGGTACCAGGGGGATGCGGGTACYRGGGATACGGGTACCAGGGATGTGGTGCCTGGAAGATGCAGGTACCCGGGGCGTGTGGATCGCGGTGCCGCAGGGCTCGGAGATGGGCCCTGGGCACCGGCAGCAGCCCCGGGGCGCCCGGTCCCAAGGGAGCCGCCACCTCGCTGGGCGCTGTGTCCCCCACCCCGCAGGCTCCACACACCTCCCAGGCTGCCCCGCGCGGCCTCTGCCGGGCCCTAATCCCTAAATCCCAGCGGGATTAGCGGCCCGGAGGCGGGCGCCGGATCCCCGCAGGCGCTCGAGCCCCGACTGACCCGTAACGCCCGGGGCCGCGAGAGGAGCCCATGGCGCTGGTGAAGAGCGGCTGGCTCTGGCGGCAGAGTAAGTGCGGTGACGTCCCGGGGGCGGCGGGGACGGAGGCAACGGGGGCCTCACGGCAGCCATGTGTCCCCCTCCGTGTCCCCCTCCGTGTCCCCTCTCGGCGGCTCCCGCAGGCTCCATCCTGCGCCGCTGGAAGAGGAACTGGTTCGTGCTCTACCTGGACGGCACCCTGGCCTATTACCAGGACGAGAGGCAGCGCGACATGGAGGGGCGCGTGCACGTGCGGTACGGCTGCCGCGACGTGCGCGCCGGCCGCCAGTGCCGAGGTGAGGCCCCAGCGGAGCCCTTGGATCCTGCTGGGGGGGGGTCGGGGGGCGCCAGGACGCCTGGGCCCACGCGCCGGGCCTTGCAGCGCCGCAGCCGCCCGAGGGCAAGAGCCGCGAGTGCCTGTTGGTGCTGGCGCTGCGCGACGGCTCCAGCACGACGCTGTGCGCCGAGAGCGAGGACGACGCCGTGTAAGGGTCCCCCCCTTCCCCAGGCGGTTATTTACCCACCCCGCTTACCTAATTTGTACCCGCTCCGGCATGGGGCGGCGGGTGGGAATCGCGGCGCGGCCCTCACGGCCCCTCTGCTTGTCCCRCAGCGCCTGGAAGGAGGCCGTGCTGGAGGCCAGAGCCACCCCGGTGAGGATCCCCCAGGGCCACCCCGAGCTGCTCCCGGAGGGAGGACAGGGAAGGGAGGCGACGGAGCCGCTGGGGACACGGGCAGGGACACGGGGACAGGGGCAGAGTTAAGGTGACAGGGGCAGGTAGGGTGACAGGGGAGGAGTTAGGGTGACAGGGACAGAGTTACGGTGATGGAGGCAGTGAGGGTGATGAGGAGTTAGGGTGATGGAGACAGAGTTAAGGTGATGGGGGCAGATTTAGGGTGACGGCGCACAGTTAAGGTGATAAGGGCAGAGCGAAGGTGACGGGAGCAGAATTAAGGTGACAGAAGCAGTTAGGGTGACAAGGGCAGAGCTAAGGTGACGGGGCAGATTTAGGGTGACGGGCAGCTTTAAGGTGACAAGGGTAGAGTTAGGGTGACAAGGACAGAGATAAGGTGACGGGGGCAGAGTTCAGGTGACAAGCACAGAGTTAGGGTGACGGGCACAGAGTTAAGGTGACAAGCACGCAGTTAGGGCGACAAGTGCAGAACTAAAAACACCCCAGACCGGGTGCACCCAAATCCCCCTCTCCATCAGCACCAAGGTCCCCCCCGGCCGGGACGGGGACGGTCCCTGCAGGGGGAGCAGGGCAGGAGGGTCACAGCGTGTCCCCTGTCCCCAGGTGCACGTCTACGACCCCTACGATGACGACTACTACCAGACGGTGCCGCTCGACTCGCACCAGGCCGCCTAYGTCAGCTCGGGCTACTACGGCAGTCCCTATGGAGGTGGGCACCCGGCCCTCCTTTCTCAAGGGACGAGGGGCCCGTCTGCACCCCCAGGGGACACCCAGGTTGTCCCCGAGTCGCGCAGGTGGTGGGCTGAGTCCTGGCACACTCGGTGCACCTGGAAACAGGTTGCAGAGTTGAAGGAGGTTGGGTTGGGTGGAGGTTGGGTTGGCTTGGATGAAGGTTGGGTTGAGTGGAGGTTGGGATAGGAGGAGGTTGGGGTGGGTGGAGACTGGGTTGGGTGGAGGTTGGGATGGGCTGGATGAAGGTGGGGTTGGGTGGAGGTTGGGATGGGAGGAGGTTGGGGTGGGAGGAGGTTGGGGTGGGTGGAAGTTGGGTTCGGAGAAGGTTGGGTTGGGTAAAGGAAGGGTTGGGTAGAGTTTGCTTTGGGTGGAAGAGAGTTTGGGTGGAAGTTGGGTTGGGCGGAGGACGGATTGGGCGGAGGACGGATTGGGCAGAGGATGAGTTGGGCAGAGGATGAGTTGGGTGGAGGTTGGGTTGGGTGAAGGATGGTTTGGGTGGAGGATGGGTTGGTGGTGGACAAGTTGGGTGAAGGAGGTTTAGGGTTAAGGATGGGTTGGATGGAGGTTGCGTTGGGAGGAGGTTGGGTTGGGTGAAGGAGGGGTTGGATGGAGGTTGGGTTGGGTGAAGGTTGGGTTGGGTGGAGGATGGTTTGAATGGAAGACAGGTTGGTGGCGGACGGGTTGGGTTGGATGGAGTTTGGGTTGGGTGGAGGTTGGGTTGGATGGAGTTTTGGGTTGGGTGAAGGACGAGTTGCGGGCAGGACATTCACTGGGGCTCCCTAGAAAGGTGGGAAGCAGATGCCTCCCACAGGGACGGATCCCCAATCCCTGCTCCCCGCTCATCCCGAGCGGCCTCCCGGGAGCCGGAGCGCGGCCGGCAGCGGGCGCCTTTGTGCCCGCAGCTCCGGGCGGCACCCGCGTGGTGCTGCGCGAGGATCCCTACCGCGTCTCCGGAGACCAGATGGCCCTGGGGCTCCTGGCCGGCGCCGCCACCGGTGCCGCCCTCGGCTCCTTCATGTGGATGCCCTGCTGGTTTTAGGGAGCCGCTCGCCCCCCCAGAACACCCCCAAACACCCTCTCCACCCGCCCAACCTGCTTAAATCCCGGGATGCGCCTGGATTGAGGCCCTTTGGCTCCTTTGAACTAATCCCCCTGGGGGCAGCAAGTAGGGAAACGCGGCGGGCGCTGCCCCCTGGCACTGTCCTCACCCTCCTCCTCCTCCGGCCTTCCTCCTCCTCCTCCTCCTCCTCGCATCGCCGCTGCTGCCGCCCCCTCCATGTGAACCTTGCTGGCTTCGGTGGAGAGAAAAAGGGGAAAGACAAGCGGTTACAGGATGGCTAATAAAGGTGGCGCTTCCCAGCCCGTGTTCCTCTCCGTGTCCATGTCCTGCCGGTGGGAAACACTCCGGTCTCGCGGCTGCCTCCCGATTCCAACCGCGGCGACGGGGCTGTCGCCCTTGGCCGTTTCGGTGGGGAGGGAGCGACGCTGAAGGTCCCAACGCCTCCACGTTTCCATCTGCTTGGGAAAGGGGCTGGTGGGTCCGTGCTCCAGCCCTGGTGCGATCGGGAAGGGCTTAGAAAGGGCTGAAGTTCCCCAAAAAGCCTCCTTAGAAAAGGCTCTGGCAACATCCAAAGCCACAAGAGGAGCAGGAGGCTGGAGAGGAGCTGGACACACTTGGAGACCCAGAGACAGGAATCGATTCGGTTCCAGCATGAAGGGTCTTCCTTCCTTTTCCTCGCTGTCCTTTGGGATTACGGGATACAGGTCCCAGTGACACGAGGAAAAGGAACCACCGACCTCGCAGAGCCTCCAGGCTCAACATGAAACACACCTGGGTGTCCGTGAAGCCCTGGGGACCTTCTGGGGACCAGGTCAAATCCATGGCCTCCTTTTCGGCACCTCTGCTAGAGTGAAACCAGCCCAAAGCTGCCCCAAAGCTGCGACGCCTGCAGAGTGTTTGTGGGGACATAAAATCCAAGGAAACAGCAGCAAGACGGAGCACTTTTTTGGCATAGCTCAGCACAACACAGGAAAAGCAGCCACGCTTCCTTATCCCCCGCCCCGAGTTTCCTTTAAATAACGAGCCCTCCTCCATCACATATCATTGATGTTTATTTCAAGACATGCCACGTCCAAAAAAAAACCAAAAAAAAAAAAAAANAAAAAAAAAAAAAAAAGAAAACTTGCCTTTAACGTTGCGTTATAAAAGCACTTTACATCTCATCCCGCCTCCAAGTTATCCAGGCGCGGAGGGAGCTGCTGCGAGCCCAGGGCCCGAGTTCCAGCTCCCCGCCAAGAAGGCAGAAATCCCGATGTTTGGAGCCCGTTTTCCCAGGGGAAAAACAGTGGGGAGGATGATTCCCGATTCCCAATTCCCTTCTGCCTCCCCGTGAGTACGGGAGAGCCCCAAAGAGGAGCCTGYGGATTTGCCGGCGCCCGCGTTTCCCACAGGCTCTTCCCCCAAAGCCTTCCCAGCAGCTCCCGCCCGGCACATGGGGTATTTACGAGGGTGTCCCCGTAAATAAAAACTCACAGGGCAACTTTGCAACGACTTAGGAAGGGGCAAAACGGGGGCACTTGGAGCGGGGCCTCGCTCCGGCGCTGCCCGCCAAGGCCCTGCGCAGGTTCCTCCGCAGAAAGAAATGGGAACGGGRGGGGAAACACGGGATTACTGGAAAGATTAAAAAAAAATCGGAGCCAAGAAATAAATATCAAGGGGAAACAGGGGTTAGCTGTAAGCCTGGTTAAATAGGAAACTAAATTGCTGGGTGTTTAACCAAACTATACAGATCTAGGAGGAGGGAAGGTAACTAAACCAACTCGGAAGACTGAAAGTAAAAAAATGCTAAAAAATAAAGGCAGAAATCTGGGTAATCTTAAATTTCCATCCTATTAAATCCCTTCCTTTCCATCTAAGCTCTTTCATCTAGATTCCCGGATGATTAAACAGCCCTTCTCCTGATCCACCTACGGCCATGCTGTGGAAAAGCAGAATTCCTCCTCTCCCTGTCCCTGCGGGCCAGGGACTCGGCCTGGCACCATCGCATCTCTAGGAGGTGTTTTGAACCATTCCTTCATCTTTTTTTGCCCAATTTCAGAGCCTCCCGTCAGCTTAAGCTGGCTCTGGAACTCGTTTGAACGTTTCCTTGGGGAGCAGCAAAACGCCTTCCCCGCCGAGCCCCCGAAACGTCACGTTCTGGTCGCTCGGGGAATAACTTAGTTCATTGATGGGCTGGGTAAAAGGAAAAAAAAGCCAAAAAAAAGCAGYTGTTAAAACTCCTCGTGCACCCAAAATGTGCCTCCTTGCTCCTTATTAACGCACGTCCGGCCCGTCCCTCTCCCCAGGCTCCTGCAGAAGCCGCTCGTGGGCCCCACGTCCCTCCCTGCGCTCTCGGCTGCCTCTGCCGCCTACTTAAACCCGGCCCAAGGCCCCGCGTTGATGTTGGGCCCTAAAAACACGTGGGCTCCGACTCTCTCTGCTCCAAGGATTCAGAGCCTGCATTTGAATTGGGGTTTGTTTGTTTTATTATGGCGTGGGTAGTGTTTGCCCCTCGGCACGTGCCTCCTCTGCTTGCATTCCCAGCCGCTTTTCCAGGGAAGGGAACGGAAAGCGGCGGCACAAGCAGTTTTTAAGCACAGGCACCTCAGCTAAGTCCAATTCCAAACTTGCTCAGTTCCCATCATTTCAAAGTGCAAGATCATAACATATTAAAAAAGGAACAAATATTAAGAAATTGTACCTATCTTTTTAAAGTTATACCTAGAATATGCTGGAATATTTTGGCTTTTTTTTTTTCTTTTTTTTCTTATAAATAATGAAGACACCGACATTTTTCCTTGTGTGTGTGTGTGTGCTTGTGAAGCTAATAGATCATCTCCACGAGACAGCCAGCGATGATGAACTGCAATAACGTTATTACTGGAAGGGGAAGGTTCAAGCCAATATTCACACTGCAGTCAATGGAGAGTAGAGGGAGGGAAAGCCGTGATGTTCTGGAGAAAGGTAGAAGCCACGTGGTATTAGCAGGAGCAGCCTCCTTCACTGACAGGCTGCTCTTGAGGCTTTTCCAGTTTTATGTCGATCACTGCAAGGGAGCAGTTAAGGCAAACGGGCACCGTGTCCCATCCCTGCCAAATCCCACCCTGCACACGGGGGTTTTTAGAAGCAGTTTATGCCCATCAGTACCTGCATTTCCCCTGGAAAATCAACATTTCTTGGTGCTCTCGGCTTCAAACAGGAGCCCAGGGAGTTTTCCCAGAGCCTCTTTCCTGGCGTTCGGTTTTTGCTACGTACCCAGCAAGCGGACTACGGCAGAGCCAGAGGGTTCCTCAAAGCCCTGGGCCCTCCTGGGGATCTGCTGGGTTTTGAACGGTCCCCAGAGCCGCTAGCGACTACTGTAAACCGAGGGTTCTTCCAAAGGGAAGCCTGGAGATCCAGGTCCAAAGCAACGTGAGATTGGGGCTTGGCTCTCAGCGCTGCCCAGCAGCTGCTCTAGCTGGTGGGCACCCAAAAGGGGGTCTCACCTGCTGGCTGGAGGGAGAAATAACCCCTCAAACTCTGCAACTGGCCCTCCCTCCTGCCAAGCTGCCTCCCTTGCAAAGAGGGTTACGATGCRACGAGGACACAAGGTCACCCAAGGGCTCTGTGCAATGAGGCAGCCCCTGCCAAGCTACTCCATGGCAGCAGATTCCCTCGGGATGCTCCATGCTTGTCAGGCTTAACGTGTCCTTCCACAGGAGCTCCTGTCCCCAAGGACCCCCATGGCTGGCGGCTCCTGCGCGTTCCCCTTTGCTGTTAWCGCAGCGCCGGGCCTGTCACGTGCTGGATATTCCAGCGAGTCTCTTTTGGGGGCTGAATTTGCTTCTTTGTAGAAGTCAGCAGAAAAAACAACACAAGGAGGGCGAGAAAAAGGCCAGGAATTCATTTCCCACGCTTGGCTCTTTGGTTGATCTAAACCTAAGCACTGGGGGGCTGCTGCACATCAGCCTCATCAGCTCCGTCATGAGAGGCTCAAGATCCTTGAAACCACAGGGTGGAAGAGCCTACAGAGAATCCCCCCTGTTAATCCCGACGGAGCCACCCGTGCTCAACTCTTGCTACCTGCAGCGTGCGGGGAGCCAAACCCCACGCACTTCCATCACCCATTGGCAGCCTCTATGAAGCTCCCCAATAGAGATATCACAGCCCATGAGGCCAGACTTCTGCCTCCAGCTTCTCATTAATAAAAGCAGCTGCTGATTAACCCCCGATCCGATGCAATTCCGGCTTGCCTGGCTAGAGGAGAGGCTCCCGTACGGCAGCGGCGAGTGGGACGTGGTCTCGTCCCGTGTGCTGCAGCTCTGTCCCGCCGCCCCCAAGCTCGGCATGGAAAGGATACTGTCTTCTCTACTTTTGTCTTGTGTGCTTTCCATTCCAGGCAGGGCAGCTGCCACGCGCCGGAAAAGCTGGGGGGAAAAGAAAGAGAAAAGGCAGCGTGAGCGAGCGGAGCAAAATGGTATTTTATGGRGCGGCCCAGCGGATGCAGCCGCAGCACAAGGCTTCAACAGAGCCCTCAGTGTTATCCGCACGACGGGCACCGCGAGCCTGACACCAAATATGACCTTTATTCCCACCCGCTGCAAGCGCCGCTGCTGCTGGCGCTGGGCACAAAGAGCTGCTGGCTGCAGGAGTCAAAGTTGCTGCCGCCTTCCCCGCCAACACGGTGGGAATCCGGAATCTTGCCCTCAGCTCRGCCTGGCTCCGAGGCCACCACTGCTCTCCTGCACATAGCGGGACCTCAAACCATGAGCCCCACGTGGCACAAGTGGCCTCTGAGAGGCCAGTTTAATTCCTTACCTAAGGGATGTTATCACCTCTCCGTCATTCCCAGTGCCCCATATTCCATGGGGAAGTGAGCCAGCCCCRGGCAGCCTGTTTGGATCACGCAGGGAGCTCCTAAAGGCTCCTGCAGGTTTGACCCTCGGTGTCCAAACGATGCTGCCAAGACCCCAAGACCATTTTCTTCTAGTTTGACAGGCCCTGCCCAAGTGAATCAAGCAGGTTTTGGAGCTGCAAGATGGGGCTCCCATCACTGCGGGTGACACACCGGGATCCCGGGCTTCCCATCTCGCCTGTCACCGCTGCGTTGCAGGGGTGCAAAGACAGCTCTGGGGGCTAAATGGGGCTAAAATGACRGGCATAAAAGGGCCAAGCCACCTTCCCCTGTGATTTCCTTCATCATCCTCACTCCTGAGGCCACCGGAAAAAGCGGCACAGCTCCCATTTTGCAAGATTTGGACATGGCCACTTTGTCCAGTTTGTACGGATGAAACAAGGGATGCTGCAGAGCTCCCTTTCCTCAGCACCTCATCCCCAGCATTATTTTCCTTGCCATTCCCGTCAATCCGTGGCAAAGAAAGCAGCCCTCAGGATGGTATCTTCACTATGGAATGATCATGTAACACATAAGGAGATGCAAAGAGTGTGGAATGGGCTGCACTTTTGAGGATGGGTATCCGTGTCCTACCAGCCTGGCCTAAGTTAGGACGACCCTTTGTTGCGTTTGCTCTGAAAGAAAGCAGAAAATTCATCAGCTCACAGATTTCTTAGTGGATCCAACATGTTTTGAGATCCTAGCTGGAAAAAACACAGCCCAAATTTGTATTTWTTGATAGTGACACTGACTTGTGCATGTTCCCTCCCTCTCCCTTGGTAGATATTTATGAGCCTATATAAAGGATGCCCTTTATACTGAGAGGAAATATGTGCTTAAGGGAAAAGAAAAATCAGCTGATAGGAAGCAACTGGATTATTGCATTTAAAACAATTGCATTTAAAACAATTGCATTTAAACCACTGCATTGGCTGCTCACAGTCAGGACAAGTGTACAGTACAGTAATCCTCTCTTTACATTGAAGCCATGAACAAAATTAGGCCTTTAGTTGCATTTCTCCTCAAAATTAGCAGGCTATAAAAGGGAACTGAGCAAAGAGGAAAATCAACTTTCCTTGTTATTAACTTTCTGCTTATCAGTCGGAGCATATGTGAGCAAATCCAATTAGGGAAATTTTGCAATGGCTCAAAATGGAAGAGGAAAATGGAAGATTAGGAGCCGCCAAAGTGTCTTTCCCATCGAATCCCGCAGTCTCCTTCCTGATCCAGTTCTGAAAGAGCCTCCGCTGTCACCAGGCGTTTCTGTTTGTTTCCCAAACGTGGAAACACAGAAAGGATGCGAGGGATCTGGGTGCAGATGGAAAAGGTGGGCAGGAAAATGGCTCACCGAAGCACRGGCAAAATGTTTCCCCCCTAATTCTTATTCTTCAAGAGTGCTGCAATTCACGCCCAATAATTCGCGCCCATCAGACGGACAAAAATCAAAGGAGAGGACAAAGTGCCAAGCTGCTGGWTGGGGCCAGTGTTGGGAGAACAGGGAGACTCGAGGGCTCCTTTCGCTGCTGCCGTGAGAAAGTTGCTCCCTGCCAAGCACCACATTCAGGCTGCAGCTCTTTGAGGGCCGCTGGGGCTCCGGAGCTGGCGCTTCCGCGCACTCCTCGTGCCCCGGGGCAGCCAAATCGGCGCTGACACATTCCGGGCAYGAAACCCAGCAGGATTCCCTGGGCCAGGAGGCAGAGCTCAGATCTTGCAGGCTTTGGGAGCCCACTGATGGCGGCTGAAGCGAATCGGAGGCTAAGGTGCTTCAAGACAAGCTCCCTACCTCCTCCTTCAGCCTCCAGGCCGCCCCAACTATCATTCCCTGTTGAAATTTAGAGGAACCAAAGCCAAGCTGTGTTGTATTTCACCTGCCTAACCCCATTAGGTTTTATTTCACCTATTTAACCCCATTAGGCTTTATTTCACCTATTTAACCTCAGCAGTGGCTCTGTTCTCACTCTATCCATCGTGCATTCATTTTCCCTTCCACATCTGCTTTCCCAGAGCTGGAAGGGAATAGGATTTTGGTGGCTGCAGAGATGGCTCCACTTTAGCAGCTCCMGGAGCTGCAAAAGCTGTAAATTCTGCCCCATTTTGATGGAGTTTGATGGAGTTTGATAGTACACAAGTTGCTGACAGCCCTTCCCTCCTAGCTGTGCTGTGCATCGGAAGAAAAGGAAGAGGAGATGATAGAAGGATCCATATGGATCACAAACAAGTGACAAGGCCAGGGAGGTGGCAAAACCACTTTTCTCCCCAGATGAGACAAGAAATTACTATTTCTTCTACTAACCGATTCGGGAGTATGGATCGATTCTGGATCCCAAATAATCTGACACTTGAACTAAACTCCCTGCAGGAAAATTAGCTCAGATTGTTCTGCAGAGTCAGGCTGTATTGCTATGGAAAAAAGTCAATTAGTTGTGGGAAGCTGCATAAACTGAATGAAATGAAATGAATGAAATGAAACAAAAGAGATTTTACACAGGTTCTAGGTGGGACAGCCATTCTACTCCCCACACCCCTTCCCATTTCCTTGAAGAACTTACTGACGTGTCCATAAAAATCTCAGGCTAAGCAGTACAGAAATGGCGAAGAAATAAGTTGAAAAGAAAGGAAATATGAAGAGCTCGAGAACTGTTTCAACAGCTGCTTTCTAAGCTAGGAAAAAAGGAACTTTCAATTATTCCACAGGCCGCAGGAACAGCTTTGAAGTTCCCCAAAATCCCAATTCACGCCTGCAATGCCAAGATCAAAACCCATGGAAGAAAAACATATCCGTAACTATATAATATTTATGGCTTTTGCTTTGATTTTTAGCTGGAGAAGGAAGGCACTTAAGAATGGCCCTCAGTACAGAGGGATGCAGCCCACAGGTTCCCACGGCCACCCTTGTTGCTGCAGTAACCCAAGGGGTTTCCTTACAAAAGAGAAGCCCCCCCAACCTTCATTTTCCCACTTAAACTCGGGCACGATCCGCACGGGCCTCCCTTACGCAACCGGGAAGTCTCTGCGGATGCCAAYGTTGCAGCTCAGAAACATCTTTCTGCTTGTGGTCTCATTAATTCTTCAGCACAAGGCAAAAAGCTGCAGTTTGGTCCTTCAGGATGCATTAAATGGAGCCACCATCCTCAGCAGCAAAGGCAGCAGCAGCTTTTGGAACTACATCTTTCATCAGCTGCTGATATCCCAAGTTTTCCTGCTGGCTATCCCGGGTTTTCCTGCTGGCTTTTCCAGCTCCTCGCTGCTCCAACCTGAGCAGCGTCCCCTGCCCTTAAAAGCCATCAGCTACAGGCTCTATGGGCTAAGTTACCAGCTCTAGTCATTCCACTCCGCAGGGGATAATTTCACTAGCGATACCCAAAGTGCAGGATCATTTAACAACTTTTACTCCTATGTAAACAACTTTATACCTCTACTTTAGCACTTCTTTCACCGTTTTCCCCCAATTTGGAAGCACCTCATCCCCTAACATACAGTCTAAGCTGTCCAAGATTATTTGTTCTTGTTTTTTTTATGTCTTTCAATAAAAAGCAGTCAAGAATGTCTCACTGTACAGCAGCCTCGAGGCTGAAGGCAGCCAACTTCTCACTCACCTGTTTTACATTGTATCCTGCTTTTGCACTGGTTTCAATGAACATTACATTCAGCTCTTTGGCTTTTCTTTCTCCTTCCTCAATGGACACTTGTCTAGGKGGAAGATAAGAGAGATTTAAGAAAAATAATAATAATTTTAAGAAGACAAATATGTCAGGAATAAAACCCAAGGAGGTAACTAATTTCTTTACAGATCCCAAAGCATTTCATGTTATTCCCTTAACATATGGAGCACAGTTTTAATGAACTGTCACTGTTCTATGGTAAGGGAGAAAAGGAAAAAATTGGCTCCAAGAGCTCCCCAAAATGATCTAGGTATTTAAGGAACAGGGGGTACAACTCTGACAGAAATATTAAGTTTGTTAAGGTGGGAAAAAAAAAAAGATGATTTTTAAAAGGGATGGTTCCTTACACCTACTGTTTGTACCTGAGAAAGTTAAATATAATTGTTACTATTTTAGCTATTCTTCTGTTGATGCCAACTGTGTTGAATATTCCATTCTCTTTCCAACCTGCCCATTATGCTGCAAGCTGGTGCTTGGCCAAACAGCAAGCTAAAAATCAACATTCCTCTACTCACATCCACCTCCAGGGCGCTTAAAAGGAGCTTGAGCATTCCGGAAGGAAACATAAGCATTCCTTTTAAAGGGAATATCTGGAAGCGTGTTACAAAAAATGCCTAGGAGAGAAGAGCAACCTGCCAGAAATAACCATTTGCAAGAGGATGTGCTCGTCCGTACCTCTTATCCGCTAGGTCTGTTTTATTTCCCACCAGCATGATGATGACGTCGCTGCCCCGCTCCGTTCGCACGTCATCGATCCACTTTGTGGTCTGCTGGAAGGAGTTCACATCTGCCAGGGAAGAGYGGAGAGCGGCGTCACTGCGGATATTCCTCGGGGATCCCTCCCTAAAAGGCTCGCGAGAGCCAAACGGGGGCCTCGCGGGCTCTGGATTTGGCCTGGGAGGGTGATGAAGAGCCGGCGAGGGAAACCCTAGGCGCCCCCACGCCAAAGCAAATGGGACTTTTGCCATTAACCTCCCAAGGACTAGCAGGACTTCACTCCCTGGCTTCTATTTCCCCTGCGATGAACTGAATTGCACCATAACTTGATTTTCATTGGGTGGGAAGTGAAAAGTCTTAGCGCTGTTTTCTTAAACTAGATCCTACTTTGTTTAGTTGAACAGAAATCGCTTCCTAGCAGGACAGGGGAGAACGTGGTTTGGCCCTTCACCCTACAGGGCTCACRGCTTGAAAAATATCCCGAGAATGCAGCTCCAGCTGGAGCTTCCTCAGGCTCCAGGGCCTTGCCCAAGCATTTACCATCAACCAGGTATTTTGTACCACTCAARCACTTCTCACTTGCTCATTTTAGATTTTCCCTATGAAACATCAGGCAACAGCCAAAAGTAACTCCCAGTTTGCTGCGGACTGAGTCCAAGACAATTCCAGAATCATTTGCACAGAAATATCAATTTAAGTTATCAGCAGGGAATTTTTCTTAACTGAAAGCCCTGCAAGGCTGCAGAGTGAGAACCTTAGGAAGCTCTTCTGGCCCATTGAAACAGGACCTCATTTGAAACCCCTGTGGAAACGGGAGTCACAGAGCAGCTGCCATCGAGCTCCGCATTGGCCACTCAGTCACACGAGAGCATCCCAGTTGCCAAAGGATTTCTCAGTTCCTAAATCCGGGGGGCTCCGCAGCACTTCTTGGCAAGCGCTGCGTTTTCTTTCTAACTGCTTCTGCTGCACAGTAATATATTGTATGTCAGGCAGGCAAGACTTGATCTCTTGCCAGTGTCTTTCTTCTTCTCTTCACTACTTGGCAATAGGGAATTTGCAAGGCCGATTAAAAAGAAAAAGCGGGAGGAGGTCACAGATAACCTGAAATTTCAGCTCAAATGAGAAGTRCTCTTTTTAATTGTTCAAGTTTCTAGTGGTAAAGCCCTCACTCCTGCTGTCATCTCCTAGTCTTCATAAATGAGAGGACAAGCTCTTTTGCATTTGTATGGAGTTCAGCCATTGCTCTCAGCCATTTCTGGTTCAAAACTGACCAAATCTAAAGGTCWCTAATTCTCTCAGAACAAATTTCTGTTCTTCAAACATAAAGGAAGCCGGTGAGTTAGTGGTCTCTGGACTGAGRGGAGGGGGAAAAAGAAGGGTTGGGAAAAGCACTAATATTTTAGTTCACAAAAAACATACATACCTTAGTAAGAAATGAAAGAGTAGTTGTTAAAGGAGAAGGGTTTTAGTGGTGAGGTTTTACATACAACAAATGTGAAGGGTGGGTAGTTTAAATGAAGGGTTAACCTTTTCCTTCCCMCCCCAGCCCATGCCCAGATCTGGGGGGCGATGAAGTGGAGTGAGACATGAAGGCTCTAAGCTGAGGCCTCAGTAAATAGGCACAAATTAAGGTGCTGGAGACAGAGAGTGAACAGGGAAATGACCCAAAAGCAGATGAGAGGCAGGGGAAAGTGCAACAAGACGGCCAGCGCTCGAGGCTTCGCGAGGAGGGGACAAGGAGGTTAGGAAATAGTGTCCTTTTTAAGGCAGTTTATACATTACAGCCGCCAGGATCAAGGAGCCGGTTTTAAAACACGGCTACAATAAAAGAAAATCCCTTTTTTTTCATGCCAGAATGAGGAACAAGCACATGAGTGTGGAATGACATGCAAAGCTAGGCTAAAGGATGGAAAAGGGGCAGAGTATTAGAAATGCAGAATTCCCCCCACTCACTTGTGATATCATAAACAACAACTGCAACAGTGGAGTCACGAATGTAGCTAGGAATCAAGCTCCTGAACCGTTCTTGACCTGCTGTGTCCCATAATTGCAACCGTACCTAACAAAATCAGTCAAACAAGCAAGAAAAATAAGAAAAAAAAGGTCAAACCCGGTGCAAAATACCTACTTGTGATATCGTAAACTACTACAGCAGCAGCAGAGTCACGGATGTAACTGGGAATGAGGCTACGGAAACGTTCCTGACCCGCAGTATCCCACAGCTGCAACCTGATCTGTGGGTGGGAGAAAATTAAAAAAGCCAAAACTGCCACTAAAACTGAAAGAGTAAATAAAGTTTACTTGAAAAAAAAAAAAAGAAAAAGAAAACTAAATAAAAAAATACATAAGCTCATGCAGGGGATGCCTGGGGACTGGGAGCAGCAGCAACTGCCTCCTTGCTGGGAGCAACCTCTCCTAAGCTCTAACAGTGGCCAGGATGGAAGATGTGCCCCTATCTTGGCCTTCCCCTGTTCTTGGAGTTCAAAAACATTTTCCTGCTGGGGTTTTTCACTGCAAGGAGCTGCAAGGAAATTAAAGCAGGTTATTTAACCTGTGCTCTGCCTACACGAGGCTTGCAGGCCCTGTGYGTGTGACCTCTCGTGGGACACAGGCTGCTTGAGGAATCAGACCCACTAAATCTAAAAAGGGGAAATGGAGGGAATTTTTTGTTTTTCCAGAATAAAACGCTGGTTGTTGCTGTGAATTTAAGGTCTTAATGCCAGGTGACCTGCAGGCAGATGAAGCTGAAAAAACTCTCTTACCAGAAAGATTTGGAAAGAAAAGTCAAAATGGATTAAAAATGACAGAGGCACCAAGATGCACAAGGGCCAGGCTTGTTCAAGGCAACCATGGTCACCGTGAGTTTACCCAGCACTTCTGCAGCACCACGTAAGGTCTCCTCGCAAACAGCTCCACGACTGAAGCTCTTAATTAAGGAGCTGAGCTAATTGGAAAGGCCGGACTTGCTCCTGGGATTTCACTGCACGGAGTGGGACTGCGCTGAGCCAAGGAAGCATGAACGTATTTTGGAGSTATTGCTGCAGGCCAACTTGGTCAGCTTAAGTGATTTTAAGAGCAAACTGGCAACTTCATACGTGACTCAGTCTACATCCTGACCTCCCCTCCTGAAGCATCGCAAGCCAAAGGGATAAGCGGGGCCTCCTCCTCCAGATTCCCACCGTTCTCCACCCTCAAACCATCCCACCTCATCCTTCTCCACAAGAGCAGCACAATTAGGGAGCCCCTTGTGCCCCATGTGAAACGGCAGCGTTAGAGGGCAGGAKACCAACGGTGAGTGCCCATTTCCCCAGAGAAAGGAGCTGTCTCCCCGGCACTCGTGAGGCTGGGAAGCAGCTGGGAAATGAAGGGCTCAGTTTTGCTCTCCGAGGGATCTCAGAGCTCTGTGCTGCACCATTCGATCACAGCAGATGTGGATCCTGCACACAGAGAATTGCAATAAAAGCCTTACTCACTGTTCGATCTTCCAAGTACATGGTTTTCGATAAGAAGTCAATGCCAATGGTTGCCTGTTAACAAATAATATATATTAAATACAATTTTCATTATACATATTATATTTTATATTAATATAAAGAATATAATTCTTTTATATATATATATTAAAGAAAATRTGGGAATAGCTATAGCTATTCTCAGCAGTAGGGAGCACTACTGCTGTATCAGAAYTAAGTACTAATACCAGACCTAGAGGAAAATACACTGGGTTTCTTACTTTAAGGATGGGATTGTTTTGTGCATAGAGCCTGGAAGACGATCCAAATAACAGATTGGTTTAATAAAAGCAATAGTAAATAAAACARCAGAGTGCCCAGGTAATGGGTGAGAAGGGAAGCAGTGGGGTCTAATGGAGACTCTACTCTAGTTCATTGTGTTCGCTCTGAATCGTCGGATTTATATCATTTATCTATTTTTTAATACTTGGTATTACTTCCCTGTAATTAATTCCTTGTTATTTCTATATATATTCCTCGTAATTAATCTTCCTGTAATTAATTCTGCCACAGATTTCAGGTGGAAAGGAGGAAGTCTGCAGCCAGCCATGATCCATAGAGTAAAACTAGCCTCGAAAGACAAATAATTAAAAATAACATTTGTGCTGAGCAGGTTTTTGCAGCATGAAAGCAATTGGCCTTCCTCRCTTTAGTGTCACAACCTTTAAGGGACAAAATTACGACAAAATGTTATTTGTCTGTCTGTCCTCTTCCAAACTGTTTCGTGATGAGGAAAGGCATCAGCAGGAGCTCGAGTCAAGGAGAGGGTTCAGGCATTCAGCACTCCTGAACTTTTACTGAACAGGGAAACCCCAAAGAGGGTCCCCAGGCACAATTTTTACAAAAGGAGCCAAAAAAGAGGCTGCAGAACCCAAGCTGCAGTGATGCCCACAGGTGAGACGCAGGGAAACGTTGTGCAAAGCGTGAGGGGATGCTCAGATGGGGGAAGAAGATACATGGGCACAGGATGAAGCCAATGACCATGATCAAGGCAGGTTTATTCCACTTGCAAAGTGCTGTGTTTTAGTTGCATTTTCCATTTTATATGTTTTTTTTAAACATTTTATATGTTTTATATATTTTATATAAAATTTATATAATATATATATATTGTATATAGTTTACAGAATCACATAGTTTTTATATAGTATATAGTTTTATAGTTTATACTTTATATAGTTTTATATTTTCTTCCTTGACTCGCTAACACCCAGGGATACCCAAGGAAGCCCTAAGGCAAAGCCAGGACTATTCCCAAGTTTTCTCCCAAGCCACAAGCCTTAACCAACAGCCCCCTCCCGCCGAAGGCTGAGGCTAAAGGGAAGCGTGTCCTGAAACGTTCCTCTTGCATAACAGCAGCGTCATGTGTTTGCAGCTCCTGCTCTTTCATTATACATAACACGCCGTGCTGCAGAACAAGGAAAACCTCTCCTGGCATCTCCCTGGATGGGGGACATTCCCAGTAAAGCAGCCAGTATGGATGGCACGGTCCCATTTCCTGCGTTTAGGATTCTAGGCCAAAGCCCGGGGACATCTCAGTTGAGTTGCAAATGCTGCTTGCATGAAAACACCTTAGTAATAAACGGTGGGCAGCAACCAAACACCTCCCATGTAGCAGCACACGAAAGAAAACTAATGAGTAGCATTCATTTCTTTATTAAATTGTGTTTTTTTTTTTTTTTTTTAGATTTTATTAATCTGCAGCTTTCTAGTCTTACCAGCTGATCATGTAAAACCCTTTCCAAATGATAGGTGGCAGCAGCTTTCAGAAATTACGTGTTCAAAATTTATCAGAAATGCTCCAAAAGAGCAAATCTTCCACTAGCTTCCATACAGCCACAGTTAGTAACGTATATGGCTTGATATACATTAGCATTCAAGTACTTGGCTTTAAGAGGTCTCTAAATAATATTGGGCAGGAAATGTCTCTTCTGGCTTGATTCCTAACGTGTCACACAGTTCTGGTCAAATCACTTACATTTATGACTCATTCTCTTTTCCAACTATAGAAAAATAGGATGCATTTTCCTACTTTGGTCATGATTTTGCTAAAATAGAGGATTTTTACTCTATTTTTACTAAAATAGAGGAATGACATAATATAAAGTATATTAATACTAGGAATGCCTTGGTGATAGGTAAATTGGAGCCATCTTGTAAGCCTTTAAGAACTCTTAGAGCTTTAAGTCCCACTCAACAATTTTGCAACTGTTTAGCCTATATGAGACTAGCTTCCCATGGAGACATCTAATATTATCAGAGAGCACAGAGGGTCAAACCTCCTGGAAGAAAAAAAAACCCTAGGATGTAAACTCCATGGAGAAAAGGAGCAGACCTGAAAGAAAAATACTGTGGGAACAAAAAAAAAAAAGAGAGATTAAATGAAAGAACTGCATTCATATGTCCATGTAATTAAAGTGGGTAGAATGTGAAGGATGTTTGCTCCCAAGGGAGCGCTGATGTGTACTCTAGCCCTCCTACACCACGGGAGCTTTGCTTCTGCTGCCATTAAGTGCATCCCATTCCCTCTGCCTTGCCTAGCAGCAGCACGGAAAAACTACCAGGGAGATGGGAAGAAAAGCAGTAATGGGTAAAAAGACTTAAATGAGGGATATTTGGATAGACACTAACTGATAGAAGAGTCGTTTTTTTAATTACCTTCTCCTCCCCACTCGCCCCAAAACCTTCCCTGTTCTTTAGGGAACCAATTTGCTCTGCTTGGCATACGCAGGATGTCACTAACTGTAAATAAGTCCTGAAAGATGCTTTTGTTTGGAGCAGGGCCATCTGGAGCTTGGTGGGGTATTTTATAAACTGCTCTCATCTCAGGCTTAGTCTAGAATTTGAGCACTGGCCTTAGGAGTCTCCCTTACAGACCCTCCAGGCTCAGCTCTGCCACTACTATTTTCAGAAGAGCTTAGTGCCTCTTAGATTTCCGTCACAGATCCCTTTGATTTGTGAACGTCTGGTAGCAAACAGTGGAAAAAAACCCTGGAAGACTTGATTGATATCATTTAGGTGTACATGAGAGATCCAGCCTTTCAAACCAGGGATTATCCTGCCACAAGCAGGACAATGTACAACAAATACTGTCTTGAAGGGTTTGTTCAATGCAGAGCTTTGGAGATTSAGCAGGTAGGAATTGGCCCGATGTCCCAAGTCGTATTCACTGCAGCCAAGCGGATTCTTCCTGTAATGGAAGACCTGGGAATAGTGGGGAAAAAACTGCGATGGATTTGCTTACCTGGTAGGTGTTGTCAAAGCTGTCATACATGAACCTGGTGATCAAGGAAGTCTTCCCCACTGGAAGAAAGGAAAAAAAAAGAGGTTGAAGGAAGAAATTTCAGCGCAAGTCGGAAACAAAGCAGTTCAAAAGGGGTCAGGAGGAGCTTTGCTGAGAACCTCAGAGCAAAGGTTACCACGATGCCCTTGCTGCTGCCTTACCGTGAGGGCTTTGAGGCAGTAGGACCACACTGAGGTGCACGTAGGCAYGTGTAGCGGGGCAAAACACCCATCAGAGCCTTCCCCGGCACAAATGCTCCAGCAAATCCTTCCCTTTCCGGGTAAATACCCGGATTCTGATAGCAATGCTGATGCTGCAGCTCCGCAGGGGCTGCCACTCAGCCCGGCCAGGTTAAGCCTCCTGTTAACTCATGTAACCCTGAAACATGATTTACCTTAAAAGAGAAGGAATAGGAGGCTCCTTTTAAAACAACCACTGCTTAAACAGCTACTGCTTACACCAAGAATCAGCTGAGCTGGCACAAAGCTCAACTCCCACAACAGGATAATTTTTTCCCCATTCCAACCATCCTCACCAAAAGGAACAAGTAAAATACACAGGAATTGGAACCTCTGAAGTTGCCTGTCACAATATATTTAAGTTCCCTTATCCACAGGAGGGGCATTCAGCAAACAGCTGAAGCCGCTCATGAATTTATCACTTCCAGATGCTTCTCAAAACAAAACCAAACAACTAAAATCTGCAGTTTCCCACCACAGAGCTAGCAGCAAAGGCCAGAGCAACATCAGGAGAGAGCAGCAAGATGTGCATGCGCCAAATGTTGGGTTTTGGTGTTCACAGAAGCTTCCAGAGATGTTACTTCTCTGGGGAGGCCGCAGGACCTTCAAGAAATCAAAGGAATTTAAGGAAAAAGTTGCTTATTCTGCTTAAAGCAGCTTTTTGAGCCATCTGCAGCCTGCAGGTAACGCTATCGACTCTACTGCAGAAGAGCTGAACTCAAAGGAATCCAGTCTTTGAGGAAAGGCCTTCCCAAACCAAGAGCTGAAATTCCATGCAGTGTTTATCCTAAATCCTTTCCAACAGCTTGGGAGCATTTTGGAGTCAAGTGATGTTGCCCTTCCCACCAGGCATCTGCTCAGGGGAAGCCTCTCTAGAAACTCTACGTTTCACAAAGGTTTTCTCTTCCTTGAGCTTCATGCATTTAAAACAAAAGGGAGGGGAAAGAGGAGAAAAAAAGGGCTGAAAATACCTCAGAAAGTCCATGATTTCCACTCTAGCTTTAATTAGAAGGAAATGTCAGTTAATCTTCCCTTAAGAAACCCACAAGTTTAGGTCACATAAACAGATAACTTGTCCAGAGGTTACTGGCTTTATATCCTCACTCTTAAGAGAACCCTTCTTATATAATAATTAATAATATATTTAAGACCATCAGTTTTCCCTGTCTTCTAAATATACACAGGGCCCRGATGACCACACCAAATATGTAAACACAATAATTGGATTTATGACAGAGCTGGCAAAATAAGAGCAGATTCCCAGCAAGGAGAATCCCTTAGGAAGGAAGGAAGCAGCAAGGACAAGGCTATCTGGATCATTTTCCTCCCTCTTCAGAGCAGCAAAAAGGGGTCCCAGAGGAAGGTTTCACCCTTCGCTTTTGGATTTGAGATATGGCCACATCAGCCGAGTTTTATTTTTATATCAATTTTTATTCAGAGCTTCGTAATGGAGCATCAAGCTCCTGCGCACGCAACTTTCTTCAAGCAGTGCCAGAGAGGAACCAATTTATGGGATCCCATTTAAATACTTATTTTCACTTATTTTCTGTCCCCTCTTGCTCTTGAGAGGTTAGGAAATTCAAAGGCGCTCCCAGTTTGAGAGTGATGTCAAGCAAGTCGTGGAATCAACACTAAGAAACCATCTTTTAGCAACAGGAACCCAAAGAAAATGAGACTCGGCAAGAAAACACAGTTGAAGGCAACGCTCATGGACAGGAATAACTGTCTGCTTAAAACACAGATTGCAGAACGACTGGATAGACAATCCTGGGGTTTCAACAGAGGAAGCAGATATGATAACCAAGCCTTAACTCTGCTTCTCTAAGCGGCTTTTTCTTTTATTTCAATCTATTGAGTTAACTTAATCTCTCAGAAAAATGCGTCTAAGATGTTAGTTGGCTGTGAAGTAGCTAAAATATCCTTTAAGCCAAGGAAAGTTCCTACGTTGCTGGGACAAAAAATGTTAACATTATCCCTGGAAAAATCAGTGTGGCGAGGAGGGAAGGGCAGGAATACTGAGAATGGGTTTTGTTGTTGTTTTTTTCTTTTTTATCGCGGGACACAGTTTTGGCAGGGGCGCTGAAGGAAGTGCTGCTGGACATACTTGAGGCTAAGTGACAGGAAGGGAGGAAAAAACAAACCCGAAACAATTCGGGGGCTGAGAAGGAGCTCGGCCAGCTGAGTCTGCAAAGACCAAAACGGGACTGAGAGAGCAGGAGGGAAAAAGCAGTTTCTTGCCTCTTTTTTTCCCTCCCATAAATGAAGGCTTAACAGCTAAAAGCTGAGTCCAGACAAATTTCACTCACCAAAGACAGCTTGGAAAATCTGTACCTAAATGATACGTGGTGGTTTCTGCACTGAAACAGCCCCCTCTGAGCTAAAGGGGCTGCCTTATGGCCATAGCTCATCTTCCTCATGATGGGCTGTGTGGCCCATGGCATGGTTTTATGGGCGATATTACCATTTATTTTGGTAAATAAGAACACACAAAAGAGCCAGATAACGCACCAAGGATAGAAAGTTCCACGTGCATGTGGGAAGAACTTACTCACTGTGAGGGTGCCCGAGCCCTGGTTGAGGCTGCCCAGGGAGGCTGCGGAGGCTCCTGCTCTGGAGACCTTCCCAACGCRCCGGGATGGAGCRGGTACCCYRTGCTCTGGGTGTCCCTGCTGGAGCARGGGCTGCACTGGATGATCCCTAGGGATCCCTKCCAACCTCAACCATCCTGGGATTCTGTGAAAGGGTTGGTGGCTGCATCACCACAAAACCAGAGCCAGGTGTCCACACATCAGCAGCTCTCCAAAGTGACAACTGCACCAGGCACAACGACCCTGCTTGGGATACACGAAGCGTGAGGTTTCCATCAGCAAAGCTGCTTCTCGCCACGAGGGCCTGAATTCGAAGCGCAGCACTAAGCGAACGTGCTGGATCCACAGGCTCTGTCTGCAGGCCCTGTGCAGCTGCAGCAAGCGCCCGCAACGGCGGGACGCAGTCAATGGGTTCATGTCACCCTCGCAGCAATTCCCATCTGCCTGCAGCTACTACAGAAGCTCCAAGGTCACTCCCTGGCTTTCGAAACAACAAACAGTGCAAAAACCTCCGAGTAACATCTGCAAAGATAAACTCTGAAATAACCACTCCAGGCACCTTGTCCCAAAGCCTAAARCTTCCCTTATTTTCTCCACGTTCTCAGAGGCAGATTCTGTTAATAAAGACCCAACTTGCTGAAAGCACAAAGCAAGGAGAACCTCTCTGATCACATGCAGAAAAACAAGTAAGGGCACATTCCCCAAATTTCCCTTTCCACTTGCAAGACCCCTTGGAGAAGATGTGGTTGAGGGATAAATGCCAGTGACTACAACTTTCTTTCTTAACTTTATCATCATCTCCAGTGGAAGTTTTTAGAGGTATTTCCTTCATGGGAATCGCCATAATTGYGCTGGACCAGCAGGGATTGAGGATGAGGAAGAGTCTTTGTCAACATGAGGTACAAGGTCTTTTGGGTGCTGGTCTCCAACCAAGTGTCACAGTCACCTGCTTTGCCGCTACTTGAGAGCCCRTACATGAAAGAATCCTGGAAATTCAGACATCCAAGGAAATGGAAGGCTTGAGATAAGAGAACAGGCTTGTCCAGAGCCAGAAAAAAAGGCACTGAGGCAACAAGATGGAAAAGGATAGCTCAGAACAACAATATACTGAACAAAAAACATTTSGGGAGGTTATTTCCAAAGAAGCCCCAAAAAGGAAGATGTTCACACTCGACTTGGTAATCTGTATGAACCAATATTCAAGATTACTTTCAGATGCGTCAGCCAGAACTTTCAACACAGAAACATTGTATGGAAGAGATTAAAGGAGAGKTTTTTTTKKYYTTTTTTTTAAATCCTCCTCTGTATTTCACTGTTGTGTTAATGGAGATTTTACCCAGTTCCCCCCAAAGCAGCACACAAACCTCATTCATTACGCTGCAGAGCCAGCTGCCTGCATTCATTTAACTAACTCTCRGTGAGATTTAAGTTTATTCACAACCAAAGCTGAGCAGTTCGGAGGACAGCATCACATCCCGACGCGCRGAGCAGAGACAAAGCAAGAGCTGATGTCTGACCCAGTCTAAGCCAGTCTGACTCAAGTTACCCTAACTCAATCACAAAACATTTAAAATCACAAAATATTTTACCCCGGAGGATTTTTTATTGATTTCACTTGTGTTCTGCTGTCAAGCCACTTTTATTTGACCCCTTCTATCCTGATGTGAGACGCCAGATGAGGTCCCACCAAAGGGCTACCTGATCCAATACCGTGTATCTGTCAGCATCCAGTAAATCTAAAAAGCCGGAAGAAAAGATGCAGAGAATGAAATGCCTTGAAAACACCCTGAAACGCAGGCAGAACTCTGCTCTCAGTAAGTAGCTTCATTTGCAACGCAGAAATACGAAGTTTGGTTAAAAAAAGCTAAAATTTTCACTATTTAACAAAATTTCTTCCCAATCTAATTAAAAACACAGGGTGTAAGCTATAAYTTGTCCATTTGCACAGACAGGCTTCTTCAAGAAGTTTCAGACTGTTAAAAGGTTAATTGTAAATATGCAGAGACGGAAAAAAAGAAAACCAGACCTTGAAAAATAGCCCACAGGTTTTTAATGAAGCGGATTCAGTAATCTGGGAAGTCCTATCATTTTCTACCGAGGGCGTATTTTCATTTCCCTCCTCACAAGTAATTCACTTTTCCAATTTTGCTGGGTTTGCTACTCAATGGAAACAAGCCAGCCAGAGTCTGGATCCCACAGATCCGC